CGGAAAACTATTATCTTTGTCATTATTACTGTTGTTATTATTATTATTGTTGTTTTTATTATTACTATTATCATTATTATTGTCATCATTATCATTTTTATCATCATCATCATTATCGCTGTTTTGGTGTATTCTAATTTTTATCATTTTTATCTTCAAGACCATTATCATTTCTACAAATAATAATATATTATTTCTACTAATAATAATAAATAATAGTGCTAGTACTAAATCACAATGGTTATCATTATCATTATCATAATTACTGTCATCATTACCTCCGCCAAATTATGTTTTTGGTAGCGGTGGTTAGTTAGTTTGTTGGTTCGCTGTATAAAGTTATGAACAGATTTTTATGATTTTTTTTTTTTTTTTTTTACCAGACGTGTGTCTTAGCCCAACTTAGATATTATTAAACTGGAACTGATCAGGATCCAGAAAGTTTTTTAATGATTATATCAGTTACCCCTATTGGTTGGGGTAACTATTATCATCATTAGTATTGCGATAAAGGAACAGCTTTTTGGCGCTTGGATTATTATTATTATCATATTGCCTTGTCGGAGGTAAACAATCTCTAAGTGCTTCTAGTTATTATTATTATCATCGTAAATTTATTCATTATCTTTATATCTATCACTCTCATTATCTTCATTATTTTTATATCACTCTCATTACCATCACTATCATTACTTATTCTTCCTTTTATTCAATTTTATTTGTGTTTATTCCAGTGTATGTCTTTATATCGTTACTTCCTACATCCTCCCATCTGCCTCGCTATATAAAAAGAATATAAAAAGAAAGACGAAATGCTCTTAAGGTTTATAATATACTTGGAAAAAAGAAGTGAAAGATTGTTACGGGATATCATTGTTTGGTCCGGCATATCAAATTTATGTTCTTGATTGAAAAGGAATCGTTTTTGATACAAATCAAAGATATAATCAACCATAATCATAAATTTTATGTGATGAAGCGGTCTCCTTTATTTATATTTTATTTCTGGAGATATCAGGTGTTTTTTTTTCTATTTGTAATTATGTTATATGATTAATCTTAATTAAGCATGAACGGGAAAATAATTAATTCTGGATATGATCATCGAATTACAAGCGATTATTTTGATAGACTAGTTCTTCTGTCAAATTAACTATTCTGATTATCAATATCTTTTAGATTCTGATTATCAATATCTTTTAGTTTCTGATTATCAATATCTTTTAGATTCTGATTATCAATATCTTTTAGTTTCTTTCAAAATCAAGTCGTCTGACACTAAAATTTCATACAGGATTTTGATTTTGTAAGTTGCGTCACACGCAGATTTGATACAGGATTTTATTGTAACGAGAACCATTAACTCCACGCTCATATCAAGCCCCTTTTCAAGAAGGAAGCCCCAGAATTAAGTAGCCATTAAGGGAGAGATCGTCGAAATACACAATACTGACGCTATACTATGGCTTTGGCGAAACCACACGTAGGGAAGGCTCGATTTTGCGTTATGTCGCGAGTCAATAAACAAGGCAGACTGCAGGTGCGGAGGCTCCTCCCCCTCCCGCGCGTCAACCAATCAAATCGGCGAACGGTTGGTTATCACTGTTTCGAGCGCCAATCCGCTGTCGAGGCGAGCGATCGATGCGGGGCGAGAGGGAGGAGAGAAAATAGGGAAACCTCACTCGCAGAAAGGGAATATTTACGGAACAATTGCTTGGCTAACCAATTTCCACCTGATACTGAAAAGGTAACGAGCGCCAACTACGAGAGGTAATCACTGACTTCGGAGGCACAAAGGGGGAAGCCCGCGGGATGCAAGATGCCGAGATTGCCTCATTTGAAGGTAGTTCTCGCGTTGGCTTCCGCCGAAGGTGTGGCCGCGCGCGTGTGTATAATCGGCGGCGGAGTGATCCAACTAAATTAAGGTTTCCCGTGTTAGCAGGTGGGCGAAGCGACAGAAAAAGATGGACAGCTGCTACGTTCCAAACAACCCAGCATACACTGACTGCTGGAGGCCGCTGTCACCCACCTGCGGCCAGGCGCCCGTGCTCACGCCCCTGCGGCCCTTGGCGGCGCCCAGCCCGCCCGTGCACCCGCCGCCCGCGTACCGCCCGCACGGTCCCCTCTTCTCCCACCAGCCACGCGCCGGACTTCACACCCGCCCGCACGCCGCCAGATGCCTCCGAGTCCTCGATGTACACGTCCACCACGCCGCCCACCCACTCCACCTCCGTGGCGACGACGATGGGCGCCTTCCCGCCCCTGTTCGACCTGGAGCCCCTGCCAAACTTCGTGACGCTGTCGCCGCATGCACCCTACAAGTAAGCCCCGCCCGCAGCGCCCCAGCAGGAGCCCGGGCGAGCTTCGACCGGCGTCTGAGAGCTGCCTCTGAGGCGCCCTTGGGACGGCCGCCGCAGGGTCCCCGCCGCCCGAGTAGACGCGCCCCTTCTCGCTTCCTCTGCGCTCGAGTTCGCAAACCGGACTGTAAAGTAGACCCAGT